TCCATGGGGATTAATAAGAGAAAGAGTAATACCTTTATTAGATGAATTAGGTAGGGATATAATAGGAAGAATAGAGGAAAGTATTAATGAATTAGGTAACTTATATTGTTCTTTTGTCCCTTTTATTCATTACCTAGATATAGCTAATAAAAAGGAGACACTATTATTTATTATACAATTTACTAGGAGATTATTCCTTATTAAATATTATATACATTATGCTGTATTAGTATATGAGCAACAACAGCAACAAAGGAGACAACAGCAACAGCAGCAACTGCAGCAACAACAGCAGCAGCAACAGCAGCAGCAGCAACAGCAGCAACAGCAGCAACAGCAGCAACAGCAATATATGAAAGGAGACACTTATTCTTATTCTTCTTCCTCCTCCTCTCCTTCTTCTTCTCCTTATTATAATCATAAAAGGAGACACCTTATTAATAATAATAATAATAATAATAATAATAATAATAATAATAATAATAATAATAATAATAAGGAGACAATTAATTCATCATATACTTCTTCTTATACATTTAATTCACCACAATATTATTCATCTGCAGCAGCAGCAGCAGCAGCAGCAGCAGCAGCAGCAGCAGCAGCAGGAGGAAGGGGAGAAGGAGGAGGAAGAGGAGGAGGAAGAGGAGGAGGAAGAGGAAGAGGAAGAGGAAGAAGAAGAAGAGGAAGAGGAAGAGGAGGAGACAGTACTGTCTCCTGGCCTATAGGAGACAGCGAGAATACATTAGCAGCAGATAGTCTATATTGGAGGGGAAAGGAGACACCAAGAGGTAGGCGTCGTCGTACTGCAGCAGCAGCAGCAGCAGCAGCAGATGCAGCAGCAGATGCAGCAGCAGATGCAGCAGGAGGAGGGCAACAAGGGAGCTGGGGAGACAGCACAAGACCATGGAGACAAATACTAAGTAAGGGGACAAATAATAGTCTCCTTTCTTATAAGGAAGGAGACAGCAGCAGATATAGAGACAGCAGCAGCAGATACAGAGAAGAAGAAGAGGAGGAGGAGGAGGAGGAGGAGGAAGAAGAACAAGAAGGAGGAGGAGGAGGAGGAAGAGGAAGAGGAGGAGGAAGAGGAAGAGGAGGAGACAATAAATATTTATTAAGAAATAATTGGCATAAAGAAGAAGAAGAAGAGGAGACAATAAATAGGGAGACAAGGAGACAGGAAGAAAAGGAGACATTATATTATTATAATAGTTATAATAATTATAATTATAATAATAATTATAATATTATTAATAATATAAATAATAATATAAATTTACATAAAATTGGTGGGGGCCCCCATATAGGTGGGGGCCCCCATATAGGTGGGGGCCCCCAAGGGTACAGAGGAGGTGGGGGCCCCATAGGGTCCAAGGGGGCCCTCGAGCTGGTGGATGTACAGCTGCAGATGGAGAGACAATTGATGGAGATATCCTCAGGGTTAGCAGCAGACATAGAGGAGTATGAGGACAGCAGCAGCAGCAGCAGCAGCAGCAGGAGGAGGAAGAAGGGTAGAGGTAATAATAATAACTATAATAGTATAAACAGCAGCAGCAGCAGCAGCAGCAGCAGCAGCAATTTATTAACAGCAGAGAGGCTGCTGCAGACAGTACCTGAGCTGCAGATACAGCTGGATATAGAGAAGGAATGGAGTATGAATTACTTAGAGCATGCAGCAGCAGCAGCAGCAGCAGCAGCAGCAGCAGCACCAGGAGGTGGTGTAGGAGGAGGAGGAGGAGGAGCAGCAGCAGCAGCAGCAGGAGGAGGAGGAGGAGCAGGAGGTATAATACATAATAATATAAATATAAGAGATATAAATACATCAATAGGATCAGGAGGAGGAGGAGGAGCAGCAGGAAGAGGAGCAGCAGCAGCAGGAGGAGGAGAAGAAGGAGATAATATAATTGCTTATTATAAGAGACAAATAGATAGAAAGGAGACACTTATTAATGTATTAAGAACAAAAAAAAAAGAGACAGTAGATTTTTCTTTGTCTCTTATTGATGCAGCAGAGTATATGCATGCACTAAAGGAAGAAGGAGACATAAATAATAAATCTCTTGTATTTATAGCTCCCTATACACCCCATGGTGGTGGAGGAGGAGGACTTATAAGAACAGCAGCAGATGCTGCTGCTGCTGCTGCAGTTACTGCAACAGGTGCTGCTGTTGCTGCTGCAACAGCAGCAGGACATACAGATCTTACTAATATTAGTAATCTACCCCTACATTATTATTCTTATTATGATGGGGAAGGAGGAGACACAAGAAAAAAAAGGAGACAATTGCTGCAGCAGCAATTGCATGCAACTGCAGCAGCAGCAGCAGCAGCAGCAGGAGATGAAGATACACCCGAAGAAATAGAGACACCACAAGATGCACAAACTTGTGCTGCTGCACAACCTATTGAATCCTTTGGTCTAGGTAAACTGTCTCCTTTGTCTCCTTTATTGTCTCCTTTGTCTCCTTTGTCTCCTTTGTCTCCTCTTCCTTATCTATCTACTGTTGTTAATAATACATATAACACCAACAATAACATACAGCAGCAGCAGCAGCAACAGCAGCAGCAGCAGCAACAGCAGCAGCAGGAAGTAGACAACAGCAGCAACAACAAGAATAACAACAAGAGCAGCAACACCACCAGCAGCAGCAAGAAAAGGAGACACATTAATAATAAAAGAGACAGCAGCAACAGCAGCAACATAGATAACATACACAACATACACAACAACAACAACAACAACAACAGCAGCAGCAGCAGCAGCAACAGCAACAGCAGCAACAATGGAGACAGTAGAGACAGTATAGGGAGAAGTAATAACGAAGAAGAAGAAGATGATGATGATGAGGAAGAAGAGGAAGAAGAAGAAGAAGAAGAATCAACAGCAGCAGCAACAGCAACAGCAACAACAACAACAACAGCAGCAGCAGCAGCAGCAACAGCAGCAGGAGGAACAGCAACAGATATACCACAAGAGGAGACAGAAGAATATACAAGAACAGCATCAGCACTACCTGGTCATCATCCCCCTTCCCCTACACCACCACCACCACCACCACCACCACCACCACCAGGAGCAGCAGGAGGAGCAGCAGGAGCAACAGGAGCAGCAGCAGCAGCAGCAGCAGGAGGAGGAGGAGTATCTCGTTTATGGTGGGAAGAAGAAGCAAGATCAATATTAGGTGTATCTTCTCGTGTACATTTAGGTGTCTCCTTATTAAGGAATATAAAGGGACAATTACAATTAGGTAATGATTATAATTGTCTAAATAAAGGGAATATAAACACTAATTGTTTATGGTTATTTATTATTGGGGTTTATTGTCTTATTAACCCTTTTATTTGTCAAGGGTTTAGGTGTCTCCTTTTTGCTGATAATTTCCTTATACAAGACTTCTTATTTATTGCCAAGAGGGCAGCAGTTAATAATCATAAAAGTATTCCTTTATATAGGGCAGATATTGTTCTTGATGGTATACATCCTGGTGCTGCTAGAAGTAAGATTAAACCCTAAACCCTAAACCCTAAACCCTAAACCCTCAATTTCTACTATCCATAAACCCTATTATCATTAACAACACTATTCATACTCCTAACCATAAACCCTAAACCCTACTACTACTCTTATTCATAATCTATATATATACATTTACCCCTGGGTACACAAAAAATAAAAAAATTCGCTAAACCCTAAACCCTAAAAGGTGTAAACCCTAAACCCTAAACCCTAAACCCTAAAAATGTTTGAATTGTTTGGATTTATTCATAAATAATTAGAATTTATTAATAATAATAATAATAATAATATATATTACATAACACAAACCCTAAACCCTAACAAACCCTAACAAACCCTAACAAACCCAAACCCTAAACCCTAAACCCTAAAAACGGTTAGATAGCTCCGTTTTTTTTCCTTTTTTCTTTTTTTTCCTCTGTCCTTATCCGTTTATAAATAAATAGATAAATAAATAGATAAATAATATATATATATTTATATATATATATATATATGTGTATGCAGCATATTTTACTCGTGAGAGTGTTCGTGGTGTCTGGGGTTTATTAAAGTTTTCTTCTTCGTTAAGATTTCCTCAAAGATTATTTCTATCATCATCTACTGAATGGATATTAGCTGAACATATTCTTACCTGGATCTATCAACATCCTAATTGCTTCATGAAGCATGCGCTACCCTAGACAGATGCATGCATATGCATGCAGATGCATGCAGATGCAGATGCATGCAGATGCAGCTGTTTATGCATGCAAATACATGCATATTGATGTATATAAATGGATATTAGATCAACATATTCTTACCTGGATCTATCAACATCCTAATTGCTTCATGAAGCATGCGCTACCATGAATATGCATGCAGATGCAGATGCATGCAGATGTATGCAGCTGTTTATGCATGCAAATACATGCATATTGATGTATGTATATGTATATATATAGATGGATATTAGATAAACATATTCTTACCTGGATCTATCAACATCCTCATCAAGCATGCGCTACCTTAGTAGTGCATGCAGATGCAGATGCAGATGCATGCAGGTGTGTGCATGCAGGAATGTGCATGCAAATGCATGCAGATTGATGTATATAGATGTATATAGGTAGCTGAATATATTCTTACTTGGATCTATCAACATCCTAATTCCTTCATCATGCATGCGCTACCCTAGGCAGGTGCATGCATCTGCATGCATGCAGATGCATGCATGCATCTGCATGTATATATGTATGTATGTAGATGGATATTAGCTGAACATATTATTAATTGGATGTATAATCATCCTTATTCCTTCATTAAATATCCGCTGCTTTAGGTGCATGCAGATGCATGCATGCATGCAGATGCATGCATGCAGGTGTATGCATGCAGATGCATGCATGCATGCAGGTGTGTGCATGCATAAATATGCATGTGTATATGTATATGTGTATGTGTTTATAAATAAATAAGATGTATAATTCATCAAGTATTCGCTACTCTAGTAGTAGTACTGCATGCATGCAGGTGCATGCATGCATATGGTGTGCATGCATGCATGCATGCATGCATGCCGGTGTTAATGTATGTATGTATATGTATGAATGTATAATGTTATTAAGATATATGCATAAGGACACAAACAGAGACAAACAGAGACAGAGAGAGAGAGAGAGACAGGAGGAGACAGAGAGAGGGGAGACAGAGATAGGGAGACAGGGGGAGGGAGACAGGGAGAGACAGGGGGAGGGAGACAGGGGGAGGGAGACAGGGAGAGACAGGGGGAGGGAGACAGGGGGAGGGACAGAGATATATATACTTACTATATACACAGCGACAGATAGAGACAGAAGGAGACAGCGGAATATTCTGCATGCATGCATGCATGCATGCATGCATGCATGCATGCATGCATGCATGCATGCATGCATGCATTCCTTTTGGAGGCCCCAAGATGCATGCAAAAATGCATGCAATATATGCATGCAAAAATGCATGCAATATATGCATGCATGCATTGTGCATGCATGCAGTATATATATATACATGCATGCAAATATATCTATATTGGCATGCATGCACTTTTGGGGCTTTGACGGACGGAGGGGGGCCCCCTCCTGTTTATTTAAGGAGGGGGGCCCCCTTTTCTTTTCTTTCTTTTCTTTCTTTTCTTATTGAGGGACATATAAGGGTATATATACCTCTATTATTTATTATATAATAAATAATAATAAATAATAATAAATAATTAATAATAATAATAATAAATAATAATAAATAATAAATATATATATTTATTTTATTAGTATATAATTAAGGAGACAGTTACTGTATAAACGAATTGTCTCCTTTTATCCTTAATAAATAAAAGGAGACAAATAAATTAATATAAATAAATTATTCTTTTATAAGAAAAGGAATAAAACAAATAAACTAAATAAATAAAATAAATAAATAAATTAATTAATTAAATTAATATATATA